TCCGCTCCGGCCACATTCCAACGAATGATGGATACCGTTCTCGCTGACCTCAAGTGAAAAAGTTGCGTCATCTATCTAGCTGATGTCGTTGCGTTTTCAAAAACGTTTGACGAGCACCTTGGTCGCCTTCTGAGTGTTCCTGAAACTATACGATCCGCTGACCTTGCGCTCGAACGTGAGAAGTGTCATTTGGGCTACAAAGAACTGACGTTTCTGGGTCACGTTGTGAGCGCTTCAGGTATTCCGTCCGTTTTCGAGAAGACTGCCGCTGTGGCCACTTTAAGGCTCCGACAGAAAAGAAAAGTCTTCGACAATTTCTGGGGCTCTGCGCATACTATCGCCGCTTTATTGAAAATTTCTGAAGATTGTGGAGTCGCTCATCAGGCTTACGCGTGTCGACACCCTGTTCCTTTGGACTGAGAAACAAGCGACTCCCTTTGTAGAACTGCAGCATCGATCGTCTTCCCCCCTGTACTTGGCCATTTTGGTTAAGACGCCGACTCAGAGGTGCGCACTGATGCAAGCAACATTGTTTTCGAAGCTATCTTGGTGCAAACACAAGATGGGACCAAACGTGTGATTACCTACGCGAGCCGCACCTTATCACGTGCCGAGACCAGCTATTCAACGTCAAAGAAGGAATGTCTCACGGTAATATCGCGATTACAAAGTTCAGGCTTTATCTCTATGCGCGCCTACCTACTCAGTAAGCAACGAGCGGACCCCGAGTTAAGACCCATCATCGTTCGTTTAGAAGGCAGCACCACATGTATCTTGCACTTCCCCGTACGTTGCCGTCATTTCACCTGTGACACGGCATATTATACAAGAGAAATGCTGGTGTCGGCAGCAGATCCTATCTTCTAGTCGTTCCTCAAGACCTTCGTGATAACATCATATTAGCCTGCCACAATGAGCCGACCTCCGGCCATCTGGGATACTCACAGACGCTTGACCGGGTCCGACAGCTATATTTCTGTCCTAAACTCGCAGCTTGTGTCAAACGCTACGTGAAAGAAAGCCGCGAATGTCAGCATTGCATGTCACCGCCTCTGAAGCCTGCAGGCCTCCTACAACCGATCGACCCACCGTATACGCCGTTTAACCAAGTTGAGATAGACTTTTTTGGACCGTTTCTTTTGTCTCACTCCGGAAACAAGTGTATTATCATCGCAACTGATTACTTGACGCGGTACGCTGAGACGAAGCCACTACCACGCGGTAAAGCATCTGAAGTCACCCAGTTTTCATGCACCACATTGTGCTTCGTCATAGCGCCCCATCATGTATCATCATTGACCGAGAGACAGCGTTTGCGGCCCAACTGCTGGACGACTTTTTCAAGCTCAATTACATGAACCACCGTAAGACAACCGCATACCACCCCCAGAGTAACGGTCTGACAGAAAGGCTAACCAAAACGCTGGTGGACATGATTTCCATGTACGTGGATGTGCAGCATAAAACGCGTGACGAGATCTTCCCGTACGTAACGTTTGCGCACAACACCGCAACCCAGGAAACAACATGCTTCGCACCCTTCCGCCTCGTTTACGTTCGAGACGTGCAAACCATGCTAGCTGCCATGATTCCTTCTGACATCGACCAACACGAGCTGCTAACTACTGACGTCATGGATTACATTCATCGTGCAGAAAAAGCACGTAATCTAGCTCATGTGCCAATAAGATCGCAGCAATGTGAAGGCGCCCGAAGGTGCAATATTTACCATCGACGAGTCACCTATCCACCTGGCGACCAAGTGTGGGTTTACCTCCTGTTAGACGGCGAGGTTTCAGCGAGAAACACCTGAGCAAGTACTTCGGACCCTACAAAGTATTTCGGTGGTTGAACGAGGCCAACTATGAAGCTATTCCAGACGGAGTCTCGGCAACTACCCAGCGCCACTCATCACAAACAGAGATTGTGCATGTCGTCCGCCTAAAACCTTACTCTACATGGTGAAAATCGCCTGATTGTGCCCTGGCAGCAAACATTTTCTTTTTTTATGTTGTCCATTGGGTCTTCAACGAACTGTGAACTGTGTTAATGTTTTTTTTTCTTATGACCAACCACAGAAATTTTTTGACCCTCCATATGCCCTCTGCACCATAAGTATAGTTTCTTCCATTTGTTTTCCTTATGACCCCTGCTGTCCTAATGTGTATCAGCATCGAGTCAATAATCTAATGGGAGGGGTAATAACGTCACCTAGAGTTCTGAGCCGGCAAGTACTAGCCAGCCGAAAAGGGCAAAGAGAATGAAGAAGTGTGTGTTAGCGCTTCGTTTGAAGATACACGCTCGTGTCTTTTTGCGCCACTGTCCCTGTCTTGTCTCTACGGCTTTTAATGCGTGAATATATATATATATATATATATATATATATATAATATAAGGGAAAGAAGTATACCTAAGGGCTCGTTTTTTCGTGTTTTGACACAATATTAATGAGATCTAACAGACAGTAATGCCAAGGAATGTATAGGGGAACTTATTTGAACCAATAGAATGTAAATAAGAAGAAAGAAAATGGGTGAAAATATAATCAGCCGTGAGCAGGAATCGAACCTATGACCTTCGAATAACGCGTTCGATGCTCTAACCACTGAGCTATCACAGCGGCCTTCCCTCCATCCACTTTTTTTGGGGGATTATATGTGAATTTAGAAGTAGAAGTGCCAGTCAGCGCCATCAATAAGCCAAGCGACGGGTGTGAAACACTCTTTTATTCGCATGTTTGGCGTCACGTAGCACGTGAACTTATTACGAGTGGGCAGCTGATCGATAGTCCCTCGTATACAACCTAATTACAACAAGTCTGCTAGTACGAGACCCTCATTAATCAATATGGGAAAGAAGTATACCTAAGGGCTCGTTTTTCCGTGTTTTGACACAATAATGATGAGATCTAACAGACAGTAATGCCAAGGAATGTATAGGGGAAGTTATTAGAAGCAATAGAATGTAAATAAAAAGAAAGAAAAGTGGGTGAAAAATAACCAGCCGTGAGCATATATATATATATATATATATATATATATATATATATATATATATATATATATATATATAGATCCCAATATTTTCAAGTTCTCCTGTTCTTCTTGGGTAAGGTCTTATTATTTCAAGGAACTTAACAGCCCTCTAAAGAGCACTTCTGCGAGTGACTTATAATATATAATGTACATGTTACACATTTCGGACAATGAAACGCAGGAAGCAGATACCATTGTAACAGTTCCGAAAAGCACGATACAATTAGGAGAGCCATAGTAGTGAAGGCATGTAGAAAATATGATCCCCAAGGCCCATGTAGCGTCTGCGTAAAGCCATGTGCATGGTACACTTGGCCCTGACAAAAATAGATTTCAAGGGAAAGCAGAAAAGAAAGTGAACTATGTATACAGCAAAATCGACTTGCTGCGCAGCCTAAAGGAAAACAAGAAGGGAGACAGGAAAGAGCGCGGGCTACCAACTGTCTCCCTTCTCGCTTTCCTTCAAGTTTGTGCAGCAAATACTTTTTAGATGCGGAAGCATCTTATACTCGCGCCTTGTAGTGCGCCGTCCGCGCCGTCCGCACCGCTTCTCGAACATTCGACAGCTGACGCGCGCGCATGCGCCGTCGCGCCGTCGCCCACCATCTGTGCCGCGCGCGCTTCTCCTTCGAGAACATTCGACAGCTGACAGCGCATGCGCCGTCGCGCCGTCGCCATCTGTGCCGCGCGCGCGCTTCTCCTTCGAGAACATTCAACAGCTGACAGTGCATGCGCCGTCGCGCTGTATATATACTCAAGGTCGGCGCTCGCTCGCTCAGTTGCCGCTCGTCGGTTGGTTTGTACGGCGCGTCGACGTCCAAGGTCGCGGTGAAATGAATTTCAACGAATCCACAAACACAATGATCGACGTCCCTTCGACCAGCGCCGTCCTTTCGCATACGTGTGTACGTGTTCACTCATTTAACACCCCCTCCTACAACCACGTTAACCAATTTAGCCATCGACCCAAGTAAGTCGCAATTTAACACCCCATTTCACAACCACGTTAACCAATTTAGCCATCGACCCAAGTAAGTCGCACTTTAACACCCCGTTAACCAATTATATGCTCCGCATCCTCCTCAGTGTTCCCCCGAGGGAAGCTGCGGGCAATTTTTTTTCAAGTATGAACCAACTAATATGCAAAGAAGTATTGCTTTAACAAGTACACAGGTATCCAGCTGTCTCTGGTCTCTAGCTTGCAGCCGCCACCGCCGGTATTAGTGCCCAGACCTTGCGGGCCAGCAGTTGAGTAGCATAAGCACTAGATCACCATAGCGGTTCGATAGCGAGATGGGTTCTTTCACTATCATAACGCGAAGCAAACCCTGCGCACTGCTCTGTGCGCTCAACCTGACAATAATCAACCCAAGCCCTACAGTCATTTCATTAATTCTGGTTTCGCGTTCTAATGTGTGCGCATTGTTCAAGTTGTTATTTAAATTTTGGACCATCAAGAGATTTTTTTTACTGTGAACGCGTCATTCGATGCCATCAGCCCCCCACCCTTTACTCAGTGCACCGGTGAAAGCTTTTCAAACATGATATGATTACCTACCACCTCTGGGAGCACATGTATTAGCAAGCCTTCGATGCGTCACATGTTTTGGCACTGCATCCGTGACCACCTAACCACTGAGCATCCGCCGGTTTCATGCGTGACTAATAAGATGTGAAGCCAGCGTAGGCGATGTCATCAGGACGGCGCTAATTTAGGCGATCTGTTCAGTCAAGTTATTTACGTCATTATGTTATGAACATTCGGACTGCGTGTATCGGCACTGAAGCTGGCGGTTACTTTTCTCGTTAGATTAGGCATCCGAGATTTTCGCCTTCTGAGCAGTCTCGCACATTGGCGAAAAAGAAATAGTGGTGACGACTTCCTGTGCTAGTATTGTACACTGCAACGTGTAATCGTGCCTTCTGTCTCTGCGAACAAATTTGTTGTGACCATCCTCTGTACAGGCCCAACTTCCTGCGAGAGTCCAAGTACCCTGCATTCTTCGGACGTATAGTCACCTTTTGGAATGATAATATCACCCACTTTGGGTTGCTGAACATCTACAGAGAGTACACGGATGTTGCCGTGATGACTCAAGTCTTCAACGTACTAAAGGTGACTTTTTTTCGCAGTATATTTTATTTGTGCACTAGGCAATTGGAAACAAAGTGAATTTTCATATTGCAATAAAGCCCACAAGAGATCGGAGCAGCCTGCGTATTTCGATAACCAATGCAATGCAGAACAGTCAGGGAGGAACTGCATATACCACATGGGTTCTTATTCTGACCAAAGCAAGACATCCTACTTATGAGAACGTCACTAAGATTACACGTGAAAAATGGCGTACATCCCATGCTTTTTACGGATGTCATGCTAGACCTTCAGTTTGTGTTCATCAGACTGTTATTCCACGCTATTTCAATTCTAGATATCTGCTGTAAAGAAATGACTGCAAATTCTCCTAGAATTTTCGCGGCAACTAAAGTCGTACATCCCATAAATGTAGTCGTTATTATCCTACTACTTGTCGCTCATATTATTGAAACACTTTTGACAATCCCCATGCATTTGGGTATGTATAAAACTAACAATATAACCAAGAGAACAACAAATTACTCGCTGAACTTATGCTCTAGGCGACATTAATATCGGGATTTTAATATTATCCACCCCAATTGCTGTTTTGCAGAGATTTTACATAACACAAAAAATATTGATATGTTGTGATACCACATTTACAGTATGACCACGAGCACACCGTGAACGCAGCATGTAAATGGTGTTCCACATGACACGGATGTCATGATTTTCATGCTGCTACTTGCACAGGTTCGGTATTGGACTTATTTCGCTCGATACACAGTTTGATGTTTAACAAGTGCATGAAATCACCATGAAAGTACTATGATTGAACGTGGTGTGTAAGTTATTGCGAACATGACATGCATGCCACTATTTTCGTTCTGCGAACTTCACATATGTTCACCATGCAGCTGTGCCAAGCCATACCGATTTTGCTATATATCGCACTAGCAAAACGACTTGTAATGTATGTAATTTCGTACATGACATCAATTTCTCAATTAATATGCTACGGCATGTCATATCAGGTGAATGGGTTAGCGCTCATTGTAGAAGTTTCGTATTGCATCGGCTATAAAACTACCACTAACAGATAAACAACGTGGCGTGTGAAATATGCCACGCAAGAAATGCGTGTTATGTTTTTCAAGCTAATACTTGTCGTTTATTTTCATCTTAGATTCACGTCGCTCCATGCGCCTTTCGCTGCATGTCAAGAAAGCGGAACTGCTCATAGCACATTCGTGGGACACGTTCTGCACATGACATGCCTGCCATGATTCTTGGCGTAACGACATGCTTTTTTATGTTCATCATGCATGACACGAATTTCTGAGTTCTGGTGTTCCTATTTCTCATTTGTCTTCGTCATAACCGTGTCACATAGCAATTTTGATATTGGGCAAGGGCCCATAACGGTCACCCGCAAATCATGAGCGGGACACGAAAAAGATGCCGCACGTTAAATACTTATAGTGACATTCATGTTGGCACCTGTCATTTGTTCATCATTGTTATATCACGCCAGACGAGGTTTTCTGTGTGTCAAGCTACCATAATGTCCACGATCAGATCAGGAGCATAGCGTGTGAATTGTGCTGTGCTTAATATGCATATACCATTTGAATGCTCCAACGTTTCATGTATGATCGTTTGGAAGCACGCTGTGATATAACATTCGGAAAATATGTCAGGCTATCTTAACAGCTGATAGCACATAGTGAGCGTGGCGTAAAAATTATGTCATACTTTGCATGCATACATTGATCTTTATGTGCTACCTGTCGTTCATTAAATTCCTGTCGTACGTAACCTGTTACGGTATATATTGAGCTATTGCAAAACGGCCGGGAGCACGTCACGAGCCATGCATGTAAGTCACACTCTAAATCCGATGCATATGATGATTTTCATAACACCGCTTGTTCTTAAGACTCGTCATTCGGTCAAGTCGCGTAATTATAGCGTTAAGGTATTAAACTAGTGAAACGGCCGCCATTTTACCATGAGCAGGGCATGCGACTCAAGCCATACATGATGTGTGTGTTATAATTTTCATGTATACTGAGCAAGACACTGAATGAAACCATACAAAAGAATGAAGCGGTACAAGCGCTGAACCAGTCGCTGTCCTCGCACCTCCTCGTGTGTTGTCATTTTTTGCGCTGCCCACTACAAATAAGTTTCAACTCGGCCACCTTTCGATACTCTTTTAATGCTTTTCGTGTTACCACCTATCTAAATTGCCCCAGGTTAAATTAGCGAAATTATCGCAAGCGCGCTGTAAGTGGGGATTGTAGGTCATGCTGTATATGCCATGCATGTCACTATTTTTATGTCAGCCACTCAACCACGTGCAAAAATGTTTCATCTTACTAATTTTGGAACATATTGGCACGTGGCCAAGATGTAGAAGAATGTCGGCCAAGAGCACGTCAAAGACGAAGCTTCTTAGCTAATCACTAGTAGTGCAGACTTTTATCAAAAATATCCTTCAGGTTCCAAAGTCTATCCACACCATTGTTTTTAGTAGGCATGCATATACGTCCTTCTGAGTGGTTTTGTTCAGGCCATGGTAGTTAACAGGAAATCCTTCTTCCTTCAACAAGACTGCTGGAAGTACCGCAGGCTTACTAAAGCTTGTAATATATCATGTTGTCGCCGTCAACAGGCTTGTCGCCTTAATGTCCACCGTTCTCGCGTCGAGACCGTGCAGAAACTCTCACGGAATGGTCGAGCGTTTGCTTCCGTAAAGATCCGGTGCATGGCAAGTGGCGTTTATAAAACGCCCAAATACAAAGTCCTTTTTTGCTGAAAATGACATCAGAGCTGCTGCAGCGTGTGAGCCGAAAGACTACCTGACGTAGTTAGGTGGTTGAGGTAACTTTGTCATCGTTGCGGCTTCGTCAGAATTTTACACGCCACAGGAATTGCGGATGACCATGATTTCTTTAATGTAAGCGGCCATCGTGGCCTGGCTGAGGTGTCAATATTCATTGCTGAAGTTTGTATTTCCCGTTTGTGAGACTTTTTTTTCCTTTACACTTGCGTTGTAATCACTTCTAACAACATCGCTTACACTTTCCTTGGCACGATTGTATGCAAGATCTCATTATGGTGATTCCAACAAAGCAAATGTACTTTTAACCGCACTCTTCTTTCTTTTCCCTTCAAATCGAGGGTCTCCTAGCAAACTTTCTGCCTTGGGGTAGTATGCGAGAAAAACTTATTCAGCTGCCATCTCGTAAAAAGCCCGCATGCTGCATGACGTCGAACAGGCGGAAAACGTGGTCTACACTCGTTGTCATGGCTCATGGTGGAGCCCACGGATGCTCCCACAATTGATGCACATATATACTTGATAAAGTGGACGGCGGTTTAGTAACCATGGTAGTTCAGTTAGTAAAGCGTTGTACGCGCTATTGGAATGTTATAGCTTCCGTCCCCGCCAATCGCACGGTGCCTTTTCTTCCGCTTTTGCTTCTTTACGCTTACATCGCTTTATTGATTGATATCTGGGATTTAACGTACCGAAACCACGATATGATTATGAGACACGCCGCAGTAGAAGGCTCCGGAAGTTTAGACTACCTGGGGTTCATTACGTGCACCTAAATCTGAGCACACGGGCCTATAACATTTCCGCCTCCATCGGAAATGCAGCCGCCGCTGCCGGGATTCGATCCCGTGACCTGCAGGCAAGTTGCCGAATACCTTAGTCACTAGACCACCACGGCGGGGCACGCTTACATTGCAGCTCTTTCTAATAACATTGTCATATGGCATGAACAATCTTGGCATGATTGTTTGATGAATCTGATTATTATCATTGTGTACAACAAAAAAAAGTGAGTCCCTACTTGTACTCTTCATTTCCTTCAGGCTATTTGAAAGGTGTTTATAGGTATATTTTGAAAAAGTCTTAGTCAGATTGGTCGGATAATTTTCAAAAAAAAGTATATCAGGTAGCCAAAAGTTAAAAAAAACTGATCTTGAAGAAACCACGCCTTCAATGTTAAAAACACTTGTGCAATCTGCTCACAACCTACAGCGACAATTTCACTAAAATAGTTGTTGGTAATAAAGGTTTCTATGAAAAAAATGAAAATGATAAAAACTGCGTATATTCAACCAATCAGGAAACATTTGTGTAAAATGAACATATGCACCAAAACAATGGTGAAAAAAATGCCAGCGTACTTTTTAGAAATTGCAAAATTGAATTTTGATCATAAAGTTTCCTATGAAAAAGAATGGGAATAAGAACAGGTGAGTATAAACAACCAATAAGGAAATAATTATTAAAAAGGAGCATGTGCACTAAAACGATGATGGAAAAAGGCAGCGTACTGTTTAGAAATTGCACAAAATTAATTTTGGGGATAAATTTTTCTATGAAAGAGAGTGTAAATCATAACAAAAGCGTGTAATAAACCCCTCAGGAAAGATTTGTTGAAAATGAGCATATGTGCCGAAATTATGATAGAAAAAACGCCAGTTTACTTCTTGGAAATTGCAAAAAGGAATTTTGGTGATAAATTTTCTTATGAAAAACAATGCAAATGATAACAGGTGCGTATATTCAACCGATAAGGGAATAATTGTAGAAAAGGAGCATATGCACTGAAACGATGACGGAAAAAAGGCAGCGTACTTTTCAGAATTTGTGGTAACAGGCCGCATCTTTAAAAGACTTGGAACACACAAACGCTCTGGCCCATGGATGGTTTTGCCCCTCAGAGTTGGTAATATTATTTTGCTCTAAAAATGAAAACTGCCTTTTGGTCGGCCTACCTAGCCGTCACTCTTAAAACAATCATGTGATAGGGCTGGGCGCTAAATGCAAGAGCAGAAAAGTTTTATACTTTAGAAATTAGGTCCACCAGCTGACTCGTATAGTATTTTATCTGGCATAAATATCACAGTGTGCTGAAACCTGGCTGCTGCCGTGGGTGAAGTGATCCGTGGACTATAAGCTACTCTATAAGCCTCACTCTTTCTGACGAGTGTCGAATGACTGTACGAAACTT